ATTTACAAAAAAAATATACCAAATGATAGGTAAAGACATCAAGCATCTATATAAAAAAAAATTATATTGATATGTTCATTTTTGAAAAAGTTACGGCAGTTTTTAGTAAAAAAAATTGAAAAAATTTCGAAAATTAGCGATTTTTAAATTTGTAATTTTTTTGGAGGTTTCCCCCATTTACGGGGAACGAGGGAAATTTTTTCAATTTTGAGGGTAATTTTTTTGACTGGATACGATTTGTGATCTTTTGACGTATCATTGAAAGAAATCGGTTCGGTGAGAGCTGTGAAAAAGTGGTAATAGACACAAAAAAAAAAACACATCATAGTAAAACCACTACCTTCTCAGCTTCGCATCGAAGCTAAAAAAAATTTAAAAAAATGTCATAACTTTGTGATTTAAAAAATTGTAATTTTTTGAGTGATTTTCTCTATTTACAGGGAACGAGGGAATTTTTTTCAATTTTTTAGGGTAATGTCTAGATACGAGTTGTTATTTTAAATCCCCCCTGTGAGCAGGTTAAGTATCTCATTTTCAAAAAAAATTATTATAAACTAAAGGGATTACCTAAGGTTTTAATATAAAAAAAAAAATATGTTGATTTGTTCATTTTTGAAAAAGTAATGGTAGTTTTAAGAAAAAATGTCAAAAATAACTGATTTTGAAAATTGTAATTTTTTTGGAGATTTCAACCATTTACGGGGAACGAGGGTTATTTTTAAATTTTTTAGTTTAATAAAATATATTTGATTTGATATGATTTGTGATCCTTTGACGTATCGTTGAAAGAAATCGGCCGATGAGATCTGAGAAAAAGTGGCGACGACACAAAAAAAAAAAAAAACACATTGTAGTAAAATTAATACCTTCTCAGTTTCGAATCGAAGCTAAAAATCAATTAGAAGTTTGTTTGAACTGACACATAAAAAGTTCCATAAATTACTATTAAGTTATTTTCCATTTAATTTATGAAACGTATACTTCTGTAGATATAACTAATATCCATCCTAATATGTTTCATTGTAATATAAAAAAACATTCTTAATTTTTTAGAATTCAATTTATAATCCAAAATATATTAAACGTTAGACAACTTTTAATGATATTAAAAGTTAGCCATATTAATATATCAACAATGCGCACAATGAACCAACAGGTCTGAGTGCATGGGCATTATGTCCACCTCGATAGTAACTAAAACATATCAACAATCTTGTAAAGAAAATTTAATTAAAAACAAAAATTTAAATAATTATTTAATGGTTTATTAGTAAATATGATTTGATTAGAAATGAATGGTTTTAATGTAAAATGTATTTTGTTTAATTTTTGATGATTTATTTTAAAATCTTTCTTTTTAATTCTAAAAATATTGAAAAATTTTACAAATTAAAAGACATTTCTATATTTCGCTTGAGAAATATGTTGGGTTTCTATGTATTAAATTATTTTTATGAAAAAGGTTATTTTAGTTTTTTATTCCGTTTTTGTATAATTGGAAATAATTAGTACGGATGAAAATAACCGTGTACCCGTGTCGCGCCATCAAGTCTGCTACGAATGTCGATGATACATTATAATGTTTATACAGCAACAAGAATAAATGTTTAAGTTCGCCTGCTGTAGAAGTTGGAAAAACCGTGGGCCGCGTTGCACAACGACGGGGGCGCTTGCCTGGAGACGTTAGTTTCCGCGTAGGGGATGCGCACACCGTCAACAATGTTTTGGCGCGCGCCTGGACGCCGAGGGGTGCCCGGGCTCGAAGAAATAGCAGCGCTCACATACATACATTCGACCGCAGAGAGAAACGGTCTATTGCGCTATTCTCCAGCTCATCCACCGTGCGGTCGCGGACGGGTACCCGCCGTTCGATCCACCGTGCTCGTCCCTTCGACAACCTGTAGTCGCCACAATTATCCAATCGGGCTAGTCGTTCATACACCATTTCTCCGTCCGCAAAAAGGCAATGCAAAATTATTTAAACGTTCAGTAGTCTCGAGGATTATGCCCTTAAATTACATACAGTGAATACTACAAGTAAAATAAATTATTTCAAAACTTTGAAAGTGCGAAATCATAAACAAACAATGCCGGCGATTGTATCGAACGAACTTCAGGATTTACAATTGAGATCGGCTCACGTGACAGATGAGGTAAACGACTGGCGCTTGTTGAAATAATAACTGTATTGATATATTTCAAAAGAGTATAATAATTAATCGTTTGTGTGTTTTGTTTGTCCTTAGTCATTGGAGAGTACTCGACGAATGATAGAGTTATGTGAAGGGGTAAGCTATAACGAAAATTCANAATCGTTTGTGTGTTTTGTTTGTCCTTAGTCATTGGAGAGTACTCGACGAATGATAGAGTTATGTGAAGGGGTAAGCTATAAAGAAAAATTAATTTTATTGTGTGGCCAGCAAATAAAAATAATGTTTTTTTTGATCAATTTTATTTTAACTATATTGTATAATTTGTTTTCAGCTACCTTAATTATATTTCATCTTAATTAAATCTTACAGAAAGTTAAAACATGCATACCAATAATTCTTCTCAAAAATTATACGTAATATACACTAAATTTGAATATGGTACCGATTCTTCTAAAGTCATAAATCATTGGTATCTTTGTTTTCAGAGTATGAAATGAAATAAAAATTATACTTCCCAATTAAAAAAACTCATAAATAAATTTTTTATATTAAGCCCTAAGTTGATTTTTCATTTAATTTTACAGCGCCTCGAAAATGTAAATTTAATATTTCATGTGCAATAACAAAACTATTTAAAGACTAAAAAGATTATTAATAATTTACAAGCAAATAAATTTTTTACACGATGGTTGAAATCATTTACACATAGAACTGTCCACAGAACATATCATAAATTTTAAATAAGTTTTATGATTAAAAAAACTTTTTCATTTTAAATAGCATGTATTAAAAAAATCCGATGAGTAGTCAACTAATTATTATTTAATGTTGCATTGAATTGATTACTGTAATAATAAAATACAAATAAATGATGGCTACTTCAAATTATCTCTAAGAACTAAGTTCAATATCAATATTCAATAATTATATTAACATATAATATACAAAGTGATTTTTTTATCATAACCCACTCAATTACTTTAACATTTTATTTTATTATTATCTTTAGTTACACATAATTCTTGAATTATTAACTATGTAATACTTTTTAAGTTCATCCCTTATGCCTTGTAAGGGCGTCAACTTTCTTTTTTTAAATGGAAACCCATATTTTTAATTTAATAAAATTTAAATTTAATAGTAAATTTCATTTGAATTTTTAATATAACTTTATTTGTTTATTAGATATAAACATTTAAAGTTTCAAATTTTCGAGTTAATATACGTTTTTAATACACAAGGTATTACAAATACAGGTAGCTAATTAATTTTTTATGACATAGATATTAACAGGTACACAGCATTGTTATTATCAATGATAGTAAGGTACATTGTTGTGAGTTTATAAATACATTAATTGACAATACAAAAAGTATATCTATTGATAGTCATAATGATAATAAACAATCCGTGACTGTGACTGCAATGTCATAAAAATCCAATTAGCTACCTGTATTTGTAGTCCCTTGTGTATTATACCTGTATATTAATTCAAACGCCATATACTATTAAATTAAAAACTGAAACATTTTATTAAATTAAAAATATGTTACCATTTAAAAAAACAAAGTTGACACCCTTACAAAGGCATAAGGGATGAACTTAAAAAGTTTTAAATAGTTAATAATTCAAGAATAATGTGTAAATAATGAAAATTATAAAATAAAATGTTTAAATTATTATTATTCTGTAAGTAATAGAGTGGGTTATGATAAAAAAATCACTCTGTATAAGTAGGTTTTTACCGGTCGTGGTCAGTATGTGTATAGCATTGCTAATTGTAATATTGTTCTCGAAATAAATATTTACGATTTTCAGTAATTTTTTTGTAGGCTTTTTGAGTTAAATATTTTTAATATTTTTTAGTTTTGAATTAATTATATTTTTAATATAGTTTTAATTTTAAGTAATTTTATTCTAGTTGCGCCAATGAAAATGAGTACATTTTAGAATAATAAAGAGTCTAAGGAAGTTAGCACTATTTTTTATATAAGAAAACCCGAATTAATATATTCGGTAAGTGAGCAGTATTGACCACCTTTCTAACAACTAAAGCTAAAATTAAAACTATTGAAACGATCAAGTAGAATATGGTTTTATATAATCTTAAAAGAGTTAACCGAGTTTCTTTTCTTTTTCATTCAAAAAAATGTATGTTATTTTCCAGTATCTTACATAAGACTATATAGTCCTATTGATTCTCTATAATCAATGAAAAATCGATTAAACATTATGTTACCTACGATTACTTATAATTTTAAAATAATTTTAACTATGTTAAACTAATAAAATATTTTCGAAACAATAAAAAAATATATATTTTTTCATGATAATTGAGTGTTTAAAATTAATTTTCCTTACAATGAAAAAATTTTTTTTTACAGACTAAAGAAGCGGCCATAAAAGCTCTTGTCGAATTGGATGACCAAGGCGGTAAAGATTTTCAAGTTTTAGTCATAATTCATACATTGTTTATTAAACAAAAAGAATAAATATAATTAAATAATAAAAAACGAAAAGTTTTGAGCATATTACAAAATGAAAAACACTTTATCATGATTAAACTCGAAAGACTGAAGTGATAATCTATTTCTTTTTACATAATAACATATATACAGTGATTCTTTTACTAGGAACCACTACATTACTTACAAAACAAAAATAATATTAAGCATTTTTTTGGGTGTTTTTTCGGATTACATAAACTCAAAAATATTCAATAATAAAGTATTTTTAATATGCATATCTTTTATGGATTTATTTTAAATACAGCGTACATATTTAATTAGATTACATAATTGAAAATTATTTCAATAAAAAAAGATTTTTTTTTAAGTGTTATTTCCCATAAAAAAGTTATACTTTAAAGTATAACTAATTTTCGGTTTAACTTACAATTATAAAACATAAACTGGTATTACGTATGACAGTTGTATAAATAATTATTTATAAATTATAAAAAAATGGAGTTATGTTATCAAGAATGGTGGAATATTACTATGATGATAGCTTCTTATCGGATGTTAAATTGTGATCAAACCAAAATAATAAAAATAATAAAATAACTGAGTTATTATATGAAATTAAAAAAATATTATTTATAGCAATAGTATTATTTATAAAATTGTAAAAAATGAAGGGGAGCTATCCTGTTCCTTAAAATATCTGTTTATTACGTATTAATTTTATTTGTTTTTTTTTTTAAAGACTATATTATAATATTTAACTACCTTTTTACAAACTATTTTTATTTAACACCATTTTATTTTCATATGAAAACATTTTCTGTTATTAGTTGTCCTGTGTTATTTTATTAGGAAATTTTCTAAAGTTTAATTTAGTTAAATATGTACGTTGCCATTAAAAAAAGTTGTTATACTTATACATCAAGAAATTCATGACTTTAAAAGCTGAAAAAAACTTAATATTTGTATTGTTTTCTAAAAAATTAAGTGATAAGCAATAAATTAATTACTCTTTACATATATTTACTTTTTCTAATTAAAAAATCTTTAACATTTTGTACAATGTACTAGCTAAAAACTTTATATTTCATTACTAAAATATAAAAGATTTTTTTACAATAGATAAAATTCTGTATTTTGGTAGAATAAAAAATTGCTACAATATTTTAATTTATTATTAAGTATAACAGAGATGTCTACAGAAGTTTTTTTTTTATTATTTATTAGCAATATAATTTTTATACATAATATAAATTATGTAACTAAAATGAGTAAACATTTTTATTTTGTTTTAATTTGAAATAAAGAGAAGGAATAATAGTGACTGATTTATAAAATAATCCCATCCTATTTTTCTTTGTATATTACTGCTAGCTTCTAAATAAGTTAAATTTCATAAAATTAATTAAATATTATTTCATTGTTAAATGTATATTATTTTAATGTTTAATAGAAAAAATGGACCGAATTGAAGAAGGTATGGATCAGATCAACGCAGACATGAAAGAAGCAGAAAAAAATTTAACCGGTATGGAAAAATGCTGTGGACTTTGCGTGCTACCATGCAACAAGTTGGTATTATTTGATCAATAGTTTACTAGTTTGGCACACATTCATACTAAATAAAGCGTTATTTTCTTAAAAAGTATTTCAATTACATTTTCTAGTAATCTATAATATTATTGTTTTCAATTTTACATAAAACAGTTGACAGCCGTCTTAAGAGATACGATGTTAGAATACTGAGATTTTTTTTTAATAAGTATTAATATATTTTAAGTAAATATAAATATAAATATCACTATAATGGGTATAGTTATTCCTTTTAGGTGATGATCTAGATATATCTCTTATTCCATAAATAGAGAATAAAATAAAATTCGGAAAATCTCTTTTTATAAAACAATTAGCACGTGTACACTGTACACATGTAAGTATATTTACACACACACACACATATATGTGTAACCTTATATGTATATTAACCTACATTCTATAAAATTATTCAAGTAAAACTTTCGGCTATTTACTGATATACATTACATCCCACAACATTTCTGCGTAAAAGAGTCTTAAATTAACTAACTATTAGGCGAATAACATTTAGTAAAAATTAAAGATTAATATTTAAAGGTAAAATTTGTATGCAAAATAAATACATTATTCTTACTTTAACATTATTAAAAGATAATATATCCTATTTTTTTTTAATTTTTGACTCTACGTATTTACGGAGAATTATTTTGCCTGTTTATGTTGTAATAAATGGAGGATGTATAAGTTCCTATACAACGCGATACCAGAGCGTTGATATTATGTTAACTTATAACAATTCATCGAGTCAGTCATGAGCTTTTTTTTTTGTTCACAAATTTTGAACGCAATAAGAGTAACGATTGTTCGCATTGTAAACTTGCACAGTAAGTATATATCTGTCATTCTATCAGTCAAAGCGCTGTTGCAACGTTCGAAGCATCAAATATTAGTATTTATAGCGCTAAATTAATGGATACTTTATTCATGTTTAGACGTTAGTTTGGCGTTATACTTAAATATTAATATAAACAACGATTTAGATAAATGATTCGGTGGAGAATTTATTTTCACTATAATAAGAAATACATTACAAATTTATGAAGCGTATTTTACTCACTTTTTTAACAGATCTTCAATATTCATTATAATCGAGTAGATAAAGATTATGATTGTAACGGTACTTGAATGAAAAATTTTACTCAATGATAAGCACTACACTATATTTTAAAATAAGTAAATTAAGATGAAAACTAATAAAATTGTTAAAAAAAAAACCTTTGTAAAATGCTTTTCTATCTTAATTTAATTTGATAATTAAAATGAAATTTAATTTATTTTTAAAATTATATATATACAGAATGTCTTAGATCTAACTGACAACGCTTATTATTACAAACTATTAATACAATTGTTTTGATGAATAAATTTAAAATGATTATTGCCTTCTTAGGATACGTACAAAGCAAGCTTTTTATTATTTGTTTCTAATAAAAACACAAAATTAAAATTTTTTGGACAAAAAAGGTTAATGTACAATAGTTATAAATGTTGTTAGTTAGATATTAGCTATGCTGTTTTAAAACATTATATTATTAAAAATAATAGTATATAGTTTTAAGGTAAAAATATTATTTATAGGAGAAAGCACATGGAGTAAAATATATAAAACGATGATTTTTAATTCTATTCTATTTTTAGTGTAAAGAGTAAATTTGTGTAGTGAAGTTTTATTAAATATATTTTTCATACTCGATAAAGTAAAAATGACAAAATGTTTTACCTTAGCAAAACAATTTATTTAGCAAAATAAGGATTTTTCATACAAACATACAACATTTTCTGTGTAGCAATTATTCGACGAGCGATACTTATACCGAAATATATGATTTATCTATACATGTATTCACCTCTAATGTTTTTTAATTTATACCTATTAACTTTTTTCTGTGTAACTTATTTTATGGTTTTTACTTTTTTCCGAAAACAATAATATATAATTCTATTTATAGATCAACATCTTTCAAAGAAGACGAAGGAACATGGAAAGAAAATGATGACGGCAAAGTAATAAACAAGCAACCACAACGAGTGATTGAAGGACCTACCACAACGCCACAAGGTGGTTACATAGTAAGGTATGTTGTACTTGTAATTATAATGTATATTAAACGCAGATCTTAAAAACGAAGTTTTGACATTCATCCAATACACCTCAACAATTTTTCTAAAATGTGCTACAAGAGGGTTGAAAAGACCACTGTAATGATAATTTTCGTTACTATCATATAAACTATACTATTTACAGAGAAAATGATAAATCTTAATTTATTCAACTAAATGATTGCCTTAAAAAATATTATATTAGTAATGCTATTATTAAAGCCCATATCTTATCTATCATATTACTTAGGTATAAAAATTATTAAAACAGTATATTGTTATCTTAAAGTTGAAATGGGTGTTATTCGTTTATTTAAATATTCAACTATTAGACTAACAGAAAATGTTTGGTAATATTTAAAAAATGTTAGATATTAGAATTGTTTTATTACTACCTGGAAAATTTTGTTAGTAATTAGATATAACTTGTAGAAGATACTGTTTTTACATTCATCTTTCGTTATTATGTTGTAACTTTCTATTAAATTAACGACTATCTCAGCTACATCTTTTTAGGAGGTATAAATTGTATTATTGACAAATTTTTTTGATAAAATTTGCTACTTGTCTATTTTGATGGATTTACATTTAAAACTATAATTAATAATGATCCTATATTTTTTAAAGCTTTTACCATTTTTATTTTGGTTTTATCTAGTACGGTTTCATTAAAATATAGAAAAGAAGCAAACCTCAGGTGACGAATACCATAAATTGCTAAAAAACATTTTAACTGTAATTTGAGATATGACTTTATCTCTTGCGCTGTAATTTTAAAGGCTTTTAATAAAATTTAGTTTTGAATAAGTACTTAAATAGCTGAAGGTACACCAAACAACAATTTTATATACAAATCAATTAAAACATTACATATACTTCTTAATGTTAATTTAATCTTATTTTTTAAAGATTTAAATTTTTCCAACATACTTGGAGTAATACAAATAGTAATAATTTTCGACCTGGTATAATTTTTAATCTTGTATGGAATAATTGAAGGGCACTTGAAACGATATGGTTAATTTTGTTAAGGATCGTCTCAGGTTAAATCATTAGGTCATCTAAAAAACGATTATAGTGAGTTATTAGGGTAACAATAATATTTCTAGGTAGTGAACTTCCCTAATGTAATCAACTTTAACCCCCATTATGGCCGTTGGTTGCCTAAGTTACATACAACTTAAGAACTGTTATATCTAGCAAGGAATTTTCTTTGATACCAAAGAAGAAACAGGAAGTATATGTAATATTTAATTAATTTGCAAAAAAAGGTGTAGTTTGTCGTACCTTCAGCTATTTAAGTAATTATTCAATATTTAAATTCCATTAAGAGTTTCATTTTAGTATAGCACATCTATGCACAACATAAGTAAGAAAAAATGTTTTTTTAAAGAACTTTTAACAACTATATGAAACTTCCATCTTTCATCTGACACACTTTTTTTTAGCTTCGATGCGAAGCTAAGAAGGTGTAGCGACCAAAACATACGCAACGAATATTCTCGAATGTTCTCGTTATCAAAAACCTTCGAGAAACTTCGATAACGCCATAAGATAACCTACGCGGGTATAGAATATTCTAGAATTAGCGAGAGCCTTATCGGAGCTATATATATATCGGAAGAATCAGTCAGTTCAGTTAGTTCAGTTCAGACTGTCTAGTCCGCGATACGCTACACGACCGCTACACCCCGCCGCTGTTGTCATCGTATATTATGTTTACTTCGATTATTTTATTTTTCCTTACTGTATATACATATATTTTCTTTTAGTGTTTATACGTCTATTTTAGTGTTATAATTTTGTTTAATAAAAGTCTACCGCCATTTAAATAATTGTGTGTTGTATTAATTTTACCATGATGTATTTTTTTTTTTTTATGTCTGTTGCCACTTTTTCTTAGATCTCACTGGACCGATTTCTTTCAAGAATACGTCAAAATATCACAAATCGTATCTAGTTGAAGACATTACCCTTAAAAATTGAAAAAATTTCCCTCGTTCCCCACAAATGGGGGAAATCACCAAAAAAATTACAAATTTAAAAATTGGTAAATTTTGTCATTTTTTTCACATTTGTTTCTTAAAATTTCCATAACTTTTTCAAAAATCAACATAATTTGTTTTTTTTACTAAAACCCTAGATATTTCCCTTTCATTTGATATCATTTTTTTGAAAATCTAACACTTAACCTGCTTATTGGGGGGGATTTAAAAAAGCAACTTTTTTACAAAAACTAACTTTTTCAACTTAATTTTTGAAAATGTTCCGGAAATACTGCGTCCTTTAAACATATATCAAATTAAAGCTTATTTTATGTACTATAAAATGAAAAAAAAAAAATTTATCCCGACACTTTATCTTCTGTGTGTAAACGGCTGCCGTAGTTAAAAAACCCTAGCACAGTGGAGTCGCGGCATAGTGGGGATGTTGCATAGTTAGGTCCAGTATAGATGTAATCTGACAGTGATTAAAATCACTATCATAAGAAACGCTTCGATGCAAATCTTTAGATAGTGTTTAATTCTAAAAAATTGATGGACAAAAGCAACATCAACTTCTATTTCCTTAATTATACGCAGATTAGTTTTTCTTTTAATTATATATTATATAATTTTTAAAATTAATTGTTTTAAAATTATTATTGATTTTGATTTTTAATAGGTTAAAAGTAATCATTTTGAGCGTACTTTTTTTGTCCTTTAGAGTGAAAGTTTTAATAGAACAATATTCATGAAAGTCAATACATTCTCCTAATAAGATATCTAAAAATTAAATAAAATACAAAACCCATAATTTTATTACAAAAATAGCATATTTGTTAATACAGTAGCTTTTTGTGCATAGAAGATAGGTCGTCGGGGCAAATTTTTTTTTTTAATTTTAGAGTCCATGATATAAGCTTTAATTTGACATATGTTTAAAGGACGCAGTATTTCCAAAACATTTTCAAAAGTTGAAAAAATTAGTTTTTGTAAAAAAGTTGCTTTTTTAAATCTCCTTGTGAGCAGAATAAGTGTTAGATTTTCAAAAAAAATGATATTAAATGAAAGGAAATTATCTAACGTTTCAATATAAAAAAAAATTATTTTGATTTGTTAATATTTGAAAAAGTTATGAGAGTTTTAAGTACAAAAAACATTCCGATAGAAGGTGATTTTTATCGCAAATATTACATTTTTTTTTAATTTTCGACAGCGATTTGTACATAGAAGATAAGGTGTCGGGACAAATTTTTTTTTTCATTTTATAGTATATAACATAACCTTTGATTTGATATATGTTTAAAGGACGCAGTATTTCCGTAACATTTTCAAAAGTTCAGTTGAAAAAGATCAATTTTTTATACAATGTTTCAAGTTTTGAACGCCCCCTATATATGGGGAAATTGTCTAATTTTAATAAAAGGTATGTCAAATGAATGATATACTAATAATGTATTTAGAAAAAAAAAATGTATGCTGATAATTACATTTTTCGAAAAGTTATAGCATTTTTAAGTTAAAAATTTAAAATCGAAAATTTTCACACAAAAATAGCATTTGGTGCTATTTTCACCGTGAAGATAAAATAAAGTCCGAAATTTTTTTTTTTCATGATAAAGTATATTACATTAGCTTTAATTTAAGATATATATAAAAGTGTCAGACCTTCAGGAACATTTTCAAAAATCAAGTTGAAAAAATTAATTTTTTGTGAAAAAGTTGTCATTTTAAATTCCTCTCTATGGGCAAGTAAAGGATCACATATAAAAAAAAAAATATCCCAAATGAAAGATAATGATATCATGCATCTATATAAAAAAAAATTATATTGATTCGGTTTTAAAAAAGTTATAGCAATTTTAAGTAAAAAAAAGTGAAAAAAATGACAAAATTTACCGATTTTTAAATTTGTAATTTTTTTGGTGATTTCCACCATTTGCGGGGAACGAGGTTCAAATCCGTCTGTGGCTAATAAAATTTTGCATTTTTGTAAAAATATTATTTTTCATATTTTTAACTTTATAACGCTATAACTCTTTGAAAAATGTATAGATAAATACAATTTTTTTATGAGAAATAATATTTATATATTTCTTTAATTCGACTTACTTTTTTTTTAAATCAGACCATTTCCCTTAATACAGGGGGGGTTCAAAACATAAAAATACATATAGAAAGTAGAACTTTTTCAACTTAATTTTTGAAAATGTTCCGGAAATACTGACACTTTTATATATATCTTAAGTTAAAGTTTATGTAATATACTTTAATATAAAAAAAAAAATGTTGGATTTAATTTTTTCTTCATGGTGAAAATAGCTACCGTATTTAATAATATGCTATTATTGTGTTAAAATTCTTGGTTTTATATTTTATTTTATTATAAAGGGATTACACTGATTTTTATAAATATTATATCAATCTAAATGACATAGTATAAAAAATTAATAATATTTAAATTTTTTTGTTTCTATGAAGTCAAGAAAAATAACTTTAAAATTTGAACTAGCTAAATTTTCATTTTTATTAAGTGTCGAATGAGACGTATGGTTTTTGAGACGGTAACACTTGGGTCTTTCACGACTGTGGCACTGAATTTTTTTTTAATTCTTTTTGAGTTAGAAAAAAATGTTTTCAAAATCAAACTCATTTGATTTATATCTCATTTAGATTCAATAACTTCAATAAATATCAAGGATTCCATTACTGTAGTCTCCTCTCGTGAGAAGAAATTCATATTAATATTATTTTACTATGTGGTTTTTTTTTTTTGTAGCTATCATTTATTTTCTCAGCTCTTATTTGACCTAATTTTTTAACAAATCTTTTTTTTTAATTAAACACTATACACAGATTTGCATCGAAGCGTTTTTTATGATAGTGATTTTAATCACTGTCAGATATCATCTATACTGGACCCAACTATGCCACGACCCCACTGTGCTGGGTTTTTAAATAGGATCATATCTCTTTATACAAGGGGGTCAAAACTTTAAACGTGCGTATTGAAACTAGGACATTTTCAATTTAGTTTTGGAAAATGTTCCGGAAATACTGACACTTATATATATATTTTAAATTAAAGCTTATGAAATATAATTTGTCTATACTTGATCCAACTATGCCACTTCAGCACTATCACGACCCCCCTGTACTAGGTTTTTAATTTTTATGACTAATTATTATTTACATTTAGTTTTATAAACTAAATTTTATAATGTTTTTTGTAAATAGCATATTTTGTAAGATAAACGATTATAATTTTAAAAACCACCCTAATAGCCGAATTTTTAACCCTCTTGCGGCACGTGTTAACCTTACTCAATTTAAATTAAATTTTTTATAAATTATTTTTTTATCTTTTGTAACAATCCTAGGAGATGTATTGAATGAATTTTTCTAAAAATTTAACCTATAAAGAATGATCGGTTTTTTAAAAACCACTCGATTACTCGCAAAATAAATACAATATTGAAATAAAAATTGTTGATTTCTTTTAGTTATAAACTTCTTGATTTATCAACTAATAATGATTTTTTAGAATCATCCTTTATAACATAAAAATGTGTCAAACTCTATTTTCTCAAATAGCAACATACATAATTACTTAACGTTTTAAAATATAGACTGGAAGTGAGGTCTAGGTATGACAATATATATCATTAGATATATCTGAGCCACTCCACTTATTTGGCCTATATAGAAAACCGTTAATGAAGTATTGAAATACTGATCCAAAATTATACTATTAATAATTTTCTTAATTGGATTATTTTTTGATTATAAGCTAGTTAAATATGTATGTTTATACCATATGAAAAAATAAAGTTGACACACCTTAAAGTTATAAAGGATGATCCTAAAAAGTAATTAATAGCTAATAAATTCAGAAATTTTTGTAACTAAAAGAAATCAAATTTTTTTTTTTACATATTGCATTTATTTTATGAGTAATCGAGTAATTTATGATAAACCAATCACTCTGTCTAGCATATACTCTAGTGTATATGTAAAAAAATATTTCCCTGCATTAATTTTATAATAGGCAATATTATTCTGTCTATTGATAGATTACACAACCGATTTATTTTGTACACAAGATAGCCCAGCTTATATTGACAACATTACTAAGTTTTGATTCAGTTAATATTTTTCAACAAATTTTTTTAAATATTTTGATAATTATAAATGTACTTTAAATGAAATAACAAAAATAAATTAAACTAATCAAGTGTTATTTAATTTATATCAATAAATTTAGAATTACCAATGATGCCCGTGAAGCAGAAATGGATGAGAATTTAGGGCAGGTGAATACTATGATCGGTAATCTGAGAAACATGGCATTGGATATGGGTTCTGAGCTTGAGAATCAAAATCAACAAATTGAAACTATAAGTACCAAAGTAAGAATATTTAATGAAAAGAAATTTTAGGGATTGTAATGAAATTTATAGAAATCGACATAGGAATATTTATTTTCAGTGAAACACGATCGGTACCGAGCAAAAATTTTTAAATGTTTAGTTTTACAAATTATTTATTAAAATGATTAATGGATAATAATTTTGGCATGTAATAATTAGCGCTTTAATTTATAATAAGCATAATTATAAGAATAAACTCTTTCCTAATTATAAAAATAGTGACGAAGGGTTATAGGAGATAATGTGTTAATATATAGTGTTCAGTAAGTAATGAAACGAGTTTCTATTGGTTCCCATTGTAATAATTGACATGTTTCCTTACTTACTGAACATTCTGTACATATAAACCACATAAAATACTATCAAATAGTTAGGCTTCATACTCAAAAATATTAAATAAAATACTTTTAAATATAAACTTTATAATATCTATTTTATCTTCTTTAGTATTCAATCCTGAGATTGGTTTGTAGCAATTCTCCACTCTTCCCTGTTACTTGCTTTCCTCTTTGTCTCTTCATAAGAAATACATCCTTGGTCCTCTATTATTTGTTGCATATATTCCATTCGTGGTCTTCCCCTAGCATTTTTTCCTTCCACGCAGCCTTCTATAATCAATCCTAGCAACCCACCATGTCTCAATACATGTCCAATCCATTCATTTCTCCTTTTCTTGATACTGCTCCATAAAGTTCTTCTCTTAGTATTCTTAAAGTANTACTGCTCCATAAAGTTCTTCTCTCGGACATTCTTTCTAATACTTCCTCGTTTGTTACCATGCCCGTCCAACTTATTTTGAGCATTCTTCTGAAACACCACATCTCGAAAGCTTCTATTCTTCTTCGCTCTTCTTTGGCAATCGTCCACGTCTTGCTGCCATACAGCATTATACTCCATACGTATGTCTTTAGGAGATATATTCTGGTGCGTATGCTAATATTTTTTGAAGTAAAAAGTCCTCTCTTTTTGTTAAATGCTGTCTTAGCTTGGCATATTCGCTTTACTATTTCTTTTTTACTTCTACCATTCTTACTTACTATGCTTCCCAAGTATGCGAACTCTTCTACTTGCTTTATTTCTTGGTTATTTTGCAGATGTATTCTTGTCGTAATATTATTGTTCCTGTTGCATACGAGAACTTTGGTCTTTTTCGTATTCATTTTCATGCTCAGTTCATTGAGCAGAGTTTCTTCCATACACCTCAGCATCCTTTGCAAATCTTCTTCATTTTCAGCTATGACTGCTATATCGTCTGCGAACCGTAGCATATCGATTTTCCTGTCATTTATCTTTATACCCAAATGTATTTTCTCTCTTATTATGTTAATTGCCTCCTGGATGTATGCATTGAATATGCTAGATGAGAGAGTACAACCCTGCCTTAATCCTTTTCTTATGCGTGCTTCTTCCTCAGTTTCGCCAAATCGTATAACAGCTGTTTCCTTCTGGTATAGATTAAAGAATAGTCTCCTTTCAGTGTATTCTATACCCGTATTTTTAAGCATCTTGAACATTATTGCCCAGTTGACATTGTCGAACGCTTTTTCTATATCCACAAAAGCTATGTATGTAGGCTTATCTTTTCTAATTCTTTTCTCGATAATTATTCTTAAAGCCAGTATTGTTTCCTTTGTACCCATGTTTTTTCTGAACCCAAACTGGTCTTCTGACAATAAGGCTTCGATCTTATATTCCATTCTTCTTGACATAATTATTGTTAGTATTTTTGACACATGTGTCAGCAAGCTAATTGTACGGTACTGATCACATTTGTTTGCGGTTGCTTTTTTCGGGATAGGAATAATCTTACACTTAGTAAAGTCTACAGGAAATTCTCCTGAGTTAAATATCTCCTTTATGAGTTTAAAAAGTACACTGCGTATGTTTTCGCCAGATTCTTTCCAAAGTTCCGCTTGGATTTCGTCAATTCCTGCAGCCTTCTTTTTCAGTGAAAAATGCTTTAAAAAGTGCTTTATCAAATTCCTCTCTCAGTACACTATAATTTGAATTATTATCCATTACTTCTTCATGCTCTATTTCTTTGCACTTTTCCTCTAAAAATGTTTCCTTTGCTTCTTTTGACTTTCGTATTACACGATTTCTTAGTTCTCGGTATTTCCGCTGACTTTTANGACTTTCGTATTACACGATTTCTTAGTTCTCTGTATTTCCGCTGACTTTCAAGAGTAGTTCCATTCTTAAGCTTTCTTCTTTCTTCTATCATACTTGCTATCTCTGTTGTTATCCATTCTTTCCTAGGTACTGTCTTTTTATTTTCTTTCAGAGTTTTTGATGCTGCTTCTGTCACTGTGCTCTTTATAATACCCCACCTATAGTTTATATCGGTTCTCTCATTTATATTTATATTGTTTGTAAGTTCTTAAAACTTATCATTTGCCTTTTCTTCTTTTAATTTATTTATTTGCCATCGATCATTTTTTCTTGTTGATACTATTTTCTTGAGCTTTAGGTTACTTTTCATCATTAATAAGTTATGGTCACTATCTATGTCTAATTCTNTAAGTTATGGTCACTATCTATGTCTGCTCCTGGGTAGCTTCTGCAGTCTTTTACTTGGTTTCTAAATCTCTCCTTGACCATAATATAATCTATTTGATATCTACCTATGTCTCCCGGCATTTTCCATGTATATCTTCTTCTTGGATGGTGATTGAAGTAGGTATTTGTTATTAATAATTTGTGTTTTGAACAGAAATCTATTAATCTGTCTCCTCTTTCATTTCGGTTTCCTAGACCATAATTTCCTATTATGTGCCCTAGGCTTTCTTTTCCTACTACAGCGTTCCAATCACCCATAATGATAAGATTTTCATCTCCTTTGTCTTTTCTATTCCTTCATNTTGACTTTTTCAATGACTTTTTCTATTCCTTCGTAGACTTCTTCCATTTCCTTCTCACTGCTATTAGAAGTAGGCATGTAAACTTGGACTATGATTGTATCCTTAGGTTTCGTTTCGATTTTGACTAATATTATTCTTTCATTGTACTGTACAAATCCTTTAACTTTTTTCCCAATAGCCTTACTCATTATTATGCCTACCCCTCCAATTCCTGGGTTATTTTCCGCTGTAACTGTGTGTATCAACCTATATTCCCCACTCCATAGATCTCCAGCTCTTGGCCATCTCATTTCTGATAGGCCAAGGATATCAATCTTCATTCTTTCCATTTCTATTTTCAAGTTTTCTAGTTTTCCGCATTGCAACATAGTTCTAACCATCCAAGTAGCTATTCTTCTCCAATTCTTAACATTTCCTTCTTCTCCAGTAGTCCCCACCCAGAGATCCGATCGGGGGACTATTTTACCTCCGGAATATTTCACTTTAGAAGATGTCATGTTATTGCCATTTCTTGGGATGATTTATACGGTGGTCTCCCCTTGCTTTCCGTATCGCAGTGCAACCATCAGTTATACAGTTTCCGTATCTGCTGGCTGCTGTTTGGTGTGTAGCTGTTTCTACCATTCTAGGTTACCTGCACCTACACCTAATATTGTAGTAGCTGCTGCCCTACTACAAGTCCCTTTCAGTCGCTTTTTACAACAGGCAGGAACAACCGATGGTCTATTCTAATCCCGACCAACAAGGGTTATCTATTTTATAAAACCATTTTATTATTCTTGTTTTTTAGAATAAACCAAAAGAAGACTGAGTGAACTATCAGTGTTTGTCGTAGATATTTTAGTAAATTTTGTCTCATTTTTCTTGATTTTTCAGGGGGTTTGAGAAAAAAATGGTAATGATCGTTGTGTGTTGAGACATGTCTCAGAGTGTAAACAAATTTTCTATTGTTTTTTTTTACGAATTATTTTTAAGAATCGTTTTATTATAATAAACGTCATCCGTTACGTAGTAATAGGATTTTCATATTTTTGTATTGATGGAGTGGTCCTAAAAAAAAGAATAAAATTTACTTGGAACATATAAGGGTGTCATCACCCACTAAAAAAAAAAAAAACCAGTGCGTGTTATGAGTACGCTCGTATGAAGTGAAACATCTTTCGTTATGAAGATATCGAGTAGAAATTGCAGCAATTCTGGTTCTTTAAAAATTTGATATGCATAATCAAAATTTATTGAAATTAAATAATTAAACGTATTTTAAATAAAATTACTTTAATTTTCAAAAATACAGTGCTTAATTGTAATATAAATTATACTTTACAGTCTACCGTGATGACAACTGAATGTTGCATAATTTTTTTTTCCGGACATTCTGTAAAAACTCATAATTAAACTTGTGTAAGCTGCTAAAATATGATAATATTACTTAGAGATAATGTCACTAGAGATATTCAAGACGATTTTTTTATCATAAACCACTCAATTACTTACAGAATAATAATTATTTAAACATTTTTTTTTATTATTATCTTTAGTTACACATAATTCTTGAATTATTAACTATGTAATACTTTTTAAGTTCATCCATTATGCCTTGTAAGGGTCAACTTTGTTTTTTTAAATGGTAACACATATTTTTAATTTAATATAATGTTTGAGTTTTTAATTTAGTAGTAAATGGCATTTGAATTTTTAATATAACTTTATTTGTTTATTAGATATAAACATTTAAAGTTTCAAATTTTCGAGTTAATATACGTTTTTAATACACAAGGTATTACAAATACAGGTAGCTAATTAATTTTTTATGACATCGATATTCGCAGGTACACAGAATTGTTATTATCAATGGTATTAAGGCACATTGTTGTGAGTTTATAAATACACTAACTGACAATACAGAAAGTATATCTATGATAGTCATAATGATAATAAATAATCCGTGACTGTGACTGCAATGTCATAAAAATTCAATTAGCTACTTATATTTGTAATACCTTGTGTATTATACATGTATATTAACTCAAAAATTTCAAACTTTAAAAGTTTATATCTAATAAACGAATAAAGTTATATTAAAAATTAAAATAAAATTTACTATTAAATTTAAATTTTATTAAATTAAAAATATGGGTTTCCATTTAAAAAAAGAAAGTTGACGTCCTTACAAGACATAAGGGATGAACTTAAAAATTATTACATAGTTAATAATTTAAGAATAATGTGTAAATAATGAAAATTATAAAAAAAAATGTTTAAATTATTATTATTCTGTAAGTAATAGAGTGGGTTATGATAAAAAAATCACTCTGTATAAGTAGGTTTTTACCGGTCGTGGTCAGTATGTGTATAGCATTGCTAATTGTAATATTGTTCTCGAAATAAATATTTACGATTTTCAGTAATTTTTTTGTAGGCTTTTTGAGTTAAATATTTTTAATATTTTTTAGTTTTAAATTAATTATATTTTTAATATAGTTTTAATTTTAAGTAATTTTATTCTAGTTGCTCCAATGAATATGAGTATATTTTAGAATAATAAAGAGTCTAAGGAAGTTAGCACTATTTTTTAAGTGATTTCCTTATATTAAGATTCACACTTCAACACTGATAAAAAAGTTATTATTTTCATATAAAAATGAACAAAAGTTAGAATGAAGAACAAAATAAAAATAAAAATATTTACAATTGAACCAGAATCGAAGGTTAATTTTAAAAAATAGCTCAAATCAAATGGATACAACTTTTTTTTTTAATCTTTACCCATAACTTATAAACGCAATCGTTTTAAAACTCAATTGATTATAAGGGTAATATGTTAGTAAAAAAAAAAAAGTTTAACTATTAGGAAAATTAAGGAAGAGTATTGATTTTTTTTTACATGAATAATTCAATTAATTTTTTGTGTAATTTATATAGAATTGAAACTTGATTAATAATTTAATTTCAGACAAAATCAAACGAAGTACGCATTTCAATGGCCAATCAAAGGACCAGAAACCTTCTTAAATAAATTAATATCTTGTTATAAGGTATAATAAAAAATTAACACCAAGAATAACTCTGAAATTGGGTATTAAATAATAAGTATATATAATATCTATAGTATTTTATATATTTTATATTACATATTAATAACTTTGTGACATAGATTATTCAACATTTTATTTTTTGTTTTCGAATAATTCGATGAAAAAATAATGAATAAATGTCAAATAATTTTAATTAAACTTATGATGAATAATTTAAGAAACAATGCTTTCATTTAAATATTCAAAACGATGCTATTTAAATATATAAAATGTTGGAAACTCTATATTATTATAGATTTATTATGGTTAATTATGAATGTAAACTTTTGTCTTCCTTTAGAATTGTTTTTATAAAGTAAGTTTTATTATATTCATATATTGAAAAGTTGAAATTTAAAACATATTTCTCGTAGCTAACGATTTTAACTTGCTTCAACAAGCTTTCAGATCTCTAAATGGAAATCAGGTGATTTTTCAAATCGTCCAAATTATGTAGTGTAAATGTTTTTTAGAAATTAATTTATTATTAATAGTATATATAGTATATATAATAAAAAATATATTATTTGTGAAGTTTTGAGAGATTGTTACAATATTTAACGATTGTAATTTCTACACATTATTTATTTACGCTCATCAAAAACACCGAGTTATATAATTCCTTATAGTATTTAAAAAAAAAAATGTTCTAATGTTATTTTTTTAATTGCTATCTGGGATAATATTTATAATTGGTAGTTTATATGATCTAGTTAAAATTTAAGCTCAATATTCGTGTTCGATATTTTATAACATAGCAATTTAATATAGTTTAAATTTATGACAAAAAATTTACTTTTCATAATGAGGTACAATTATGTTGAATCATTTATGAAACCAGTTACTCGAATTTCAATTACATTTTTCATTATATTACTTAATATGCATAATGTCATAATAATTTTCAAAAACTGTTTGCCCCTGATTGAGAAAAGTATATTTTAATAGTGAAATATCTTTAAGTAGTTGTTTAAATAAATATAAATCATAAATCTTAATATTTAAATTTAAAATTACTACTTTTAAAAATATTTTAATTTTATTGAAATTTTAAAAAGAATCTTTTTGTCTCATATTAAAATAATATGCCTATAATTAGTTACGACTTACACAGGGTTAATATAATTTAAGAAATCAGAAAGTATTATGATTGTCATATTCAATTAACTATATTTCGAGTTATATCTATATGATATTTAATTTCAGTTAAATGCTGTATGCATTATTTTATTATCATTATTTTTTTTTACAATTTTTTCAGTGTCGTAACTAGGGTTTTGTTTGGGAAGAACAAGAATACCTAAGTAAAGTTTTAACTTCTCTTTAAAATCGTATCTTTACCATATAAATATTTTTGTTTTGATGGGATCTACACCTACATAACCTGAGATATTTTACTAGGTAATAGTTATTACAACTTATAGATCAGACATATTATTTACAATATTCTTTGTCATATATAAAAAAATTCTTTATTTATAAAGTAATTAAATAATTGTTCATATTATTTTAATAAAATAATTTTATACTAACAATATCCTAAAATAACATGCACCTTTTGAATGAATTTTTTCATTGTGTTACCCATATCACGAATTCATAACATATAATATACGTAAGTAGGCAAAAATTATTGATCATATCCAAAACAGACAATACTTCTTTTTTACTAATTACAATTTAAATTTTAACATTTATAGTTTTATATACAAGTAGCAGTAGAATTAAGTATCTTAAAATATTTAGTGGTAAATAGTTAATTTAATGTTTCTTAATTCTATACAATATGTTCGTGATTAATGTTAAAAAGTATAAAATTTGTTTTTAGAATAAGTTAAAATATATGTTATGCATATGTAGAATTAATTAGTTTTAGCTGTGATGTTTTGAATTATTTTTCAACAAATACTATATTGTTTGATTATGATTTAATATGTAGAAATTTGATAATATTACTAACAAATGAAAATCGCAGACAACTATTCCGCATTTAGCATTACAGTCATATGTAATAACAAGTTTTATCTATAATAAAATTATTATTTAAATAGTTTTATAATCATATTTTTATTACACCTAACCACTAACTCGCATGCTTAGTATATTAGTAAAAGATCTAATGTGTCGTTACTCACTACGTAGCCCTATAACACTGTGTGGTCCACATTTATTATACTTGTATTCAATTAACACAATAGATATAAATTAATAAAATACATTTTACTCATAATATTAGCCTGATAATTTAAAAAAAAATGATTGATCTCGTAATTATTTGATTTATTAAAAATAGCAAATTTACTTTATTTAAAAATTTTAAACGTTACTGTTCAACGACTATTATCAGATATCCATTATCACTGATAGTTTAATGCTCATCTAATCTAGGTATTATATAATTTATAAAATTCCAAATAAGAAATCAAGTTTAATGTAAAATATAAATTAATTTTAATAATTGTATTTGTTAATATATGAGTACAAATTGTATACAACTTTTAGCAGCTCAAATTAATCAAATTAAATTGAATCAATTAATTATATTACATAATGCATAAGGTAAAAAAAAAATTATTTTATATTAGTAACGCTTAATGTGGTGTAATATTTCCAAATATAGTCAGTCATCAAAGTTGAATGTGAAAATAATGTGGGAACAGCAGTTTGTATACATACTTCTAATACTGGCCACTTGTTTTTAACCTGCGCTCATGTTGTAAAATATGTCAGTATTTCTTTTTTTTAATTTAATCTTATTCTCTTATGATACACTTCATGAATTTGTATGTAGAAAACTGGATCTATTCTATTACGATATAATAAACAAGTATTCAAAGGATTGGTAATTTATGCTGTTCCTAAAGGAAGCCCCTATGATTTGGCCTTAATTTCTAGTATAAAATCTGAAGATATAACTGCTAGTAAAATGTATTGTGACATTCCACTTCTAAGTAGGAGTGATTTTACTACAGCTCTTAGCTAATTTATTAAGTACTTAGTTATTGCAGATGAGGAAGTGTTTATTGTAGGTTATCATTCTTTGGAATATGAACCTTCTATATCTGTTGGTCGAGTCTACAGAATACCATTTAAGAGTTTACTTGTAACTACATGCAATGTCTATCCAGGGTTTAGTGGTAGCCCTGTTTTTACAAAAGACAACAAACTTATAGGACTATTAATTGGCAAATTAAGTATTGGTTCACTTAGTTTTGTGTTAACTGCAGCAGTATTTGATCAAATCATCAATAATTATATTTGTAAATATGGTTAGCTCTTATACATTTATTTAAAACATAACTAAGGAATTACTCCTTTAGAATAAAAACGTTCAAATTATTTTTTATTTCAGATACAATAGAACTTAAAAAAATTGAGTCCAATTGTCCAATCACGAATATTATATGGGAAAATGGATATCCAAATTTGAAACTGTGTCATATATGATATGAAAACTACATTTTAGATGCATCATTGATGAGTAGAAGGATATACTTTCAAGACATTTGATTTATAAGTAATTATAATTTAAAAACGTTAATAAAAAAGTTGAAAAAATATTGTTATAATGTATAATAAAGTTATGTACACTATTATACAAATAATACAATACAAATTCTTTTAAACTATGCTGCCAATTTTTTGTTATCATCATTTGATAATTGGGTTTTATCCATTAAACACAGGACGTTGTTACTCAAAAAGCTTAAGTAAAATAATATCCAAAAGTAATATTGTAGTTATTTTGCAATATTTTTTCCTATATTTTACAAAGTTAAAGTACCAAATTACAAAAACTCTGATATTGAGAAATTTGTTTAATTTTTTCAATTGTGCATATCTTCATTTTTTTATCAATATTACAAAATAATATATAATTTTATTTATTATGTATTAGAGTATAACGTCCATTGATTATATTGATGATAAATTTATTTTTTATTGGTGTATTTTACCTAAAACTCTTAATTTTTTCTGTAATTTGAAATAATGATAAAAATTCAGTGGTTACTTCAAAAATAGCAAAAAAAAAAAAGTCAGATCAAAAATTGTTCAAGATAAAAGTTATAGGTAATTCAGTATTGTTTAATTTTATATAAAAAAATTGAAATTCAGTTGAATACAATTAATGATATTTAGAATATAATGAAAACATTTATTTGCGTCACACAAAAAATGCTAATTTCACAATAGCCCAAAAACTGTTCTACTTTTTGTAGTTAGGACTTCATTTTCGGACTTGGCAGAAGATTTTACGTTAAAAATGACTATCATATGTTATTGTATAATATAATTTTAATGTAAACTAGTGTAATTATTTTTAATTTTGCTAAAAATAAATGAAGTTTATATTGAATAAATTTTGTGTGTAATATTCTGATGAAAATAAATAAATTTAATTCATATTTTAAAATTATAATATAAACCTTGCTTTACTATTTAGCTTGAGATGCTCAAGAAAATTTTATTTGAAATCCTTGGCTGTTATGCAACTGAATAGAGTAAAATATAATCTTTGCAACAATTTGTTTTTTTTTTAATGGACTATTAATATATTAATGTGTACCATAATGTAGGTATTTCCATCTATCTATCATAAGCATAGGTTTTAAGGCAAGACGTTAAATATAAAAAATATATAAATTAAACGGACAAGTTAATCAAGATTACTATACAAATTATAGATATTAAAAGTGAGAACAAATTTGAATCAATCTGTGTTTCACATATTGTCTTCATAATGACCTCAGTCAACTTATTTATAGTTTTAACCAACATAGGTTACTTAATAACTAATATTAAAGTCGTATAAAAGATATTTTGTGAAAATATTATGTAAATTGTTAATTTTAGTATTTCTTATAATTTTCTAATGATCTTATTTGGTTCTAAAAATATTAATAAAAATAACTTAAAAGTACTTAGCATAATTTGTTTTTAAATTGAATGAGTTGTATTAAAAATGCAATTTGTGAAATAATTTTATAAAAATTTGACAATATCATTAAATTATACTTGCCTTGATATTTTTTCTTGAAACTTGAAATTTGTATCTTAAAAAAAATTTAAATTAAGTGAAAGTAAACTATTTGAAAAGTTAATAAAATAAAAATAAGTATTAAAAAGTTTTTTTCCAATTATCTAGTATTGATTATTTATTTATAAGGTAAGTGTTGTAATTGTCCTAATGTTATTATCTAATATATGTTAAGTTAATCAAATTCATTGAAAAGATTGCAAGTGGGCTTTTTATATATTGGCCTGTAACAACAACATTATTTGCCACTTGCATACGACTAGCTATAGTAGCAAGGGTCGCCACCACCTAGGCGAGGTGTCATACTTATCAGATATGATTACCGGATCATAGGTGGAATTTAATTTTAAGTTAATTAAAAGTATAATCTAAATTAATATGACGTTATACGTATAAATTACTATAATACCTCGTGGTTTATTAAACACAATTATGACAATCAAAGTTGTATGTGGTTGATATGTAAAACATACCGTAGCCCGTGTCTAGATTAAGGAATAAGAATAAAATACACGCGAGTAATTAAGTTACTCGTGCAATAAAATAAATATTACAGTTGAAATTAATAAGGAAATTTAATTTAATTGTTAAAAAAAAAANTAAAATAAATATTACAGTTGAAATTAATAAGGAAATTTAATTTAATTGTTAAAAAAAAAAAAATTAAGTTAAACATGGACAAAAATGCGAATGCATCAAAAACCATGTCTACAAATAAAGACAATACAAATAAAATAAAATATTTAAACAAAACAAACATCACGGACGGTATTGGAACACATCCGTTTATGTTAATCGGAAGTTAATGAAGAACACTAGGAGCGGTCTGGACACTCGTTCCTTAGCGTTGGCTAGAAGAAAAGGGAAACACGTGCTCTCCACACAAACAAAATTAAGTTAATTTACGATAAAATAATATATAGCTCGTTACATAAATATAATATATAAACGGAAACGATACCTGGTCTCCGAAGAGACCCATCCGATGGTCTGGATGCTTCGTCGATAAGACCTGGCCGTTCGCCGTTGGCGGTTCTACTCCATCATTGAAAAAATGTCAATAAAACAACAAATGTGTGCACCCTAGCAAGGTCAATGACAGAAGAAAGAATAGAGAAGAATCAACACCGATCTAACGGAAATTTCAAATCGATAACGGCCCGTCTTTTTGGAAGGGATCAATATTGATAAACAATTTGATTTTAATTATATTCTCTTTTATCGCCTTATCTAGCGGTCAGCGGCAAAATAATGAGTGGTTGACACCACTGTGTCAGAAAAAGGTTCTTTCACGCGATAAAATAAATAAGTAGACATAACAAAAAGTCATAAACAATTCGAATTTGTGANGAGTGGTTGACACCACTGTGTCAGAAAAAGGTTCTTTCACGCGATAAAATAAATAAGTAGACATAACAAAAAGTCATAAACAGTCCACCTTCGAATTTGTAACGTTACAAGATAATTAAAGTATTTATGAAAGAATTAAGAAAAAAAATTATTTTAATACATCAAGTTCAGTGAGCTTGAGTAATGCTCAAATATATAAATTAATATATATATATTCTTTAATGAAACATTTAAATACTCTGATAAAAAAAACTAAGTTATTTAATTGAGTAAATCAAAAACTTAAATTAACAATAAGTAAACCAATTCTAATTAACACATGTTATAACATTTTATTTAACATATACAATAAAAATAAATAAAACATAAGGAATCAGTGAGAATATTCATTCAGTATTCATATTATACAATACATATCGGACTAAATAGATAAATAATGCAAATCCAATCATAACTACACTATTGTATATTACTGATTGAAAAATATTATTATCAGGTGTAGTGTTGTCAGGATTTGGTGAGTTAACTACATTGGCTCTGGCTGAATTACGTTTCTCAATTTCGTTTCTAATAGTCTACAACAATATGAAAAATGTTTAATACAAGTTATATTTTCAACAGCATGTAGTATATTACTGTTGTAAGGTCAGGAAAAAGTTCACAAAAATTTTCATCATTTAAATTAGTTTCTAAACTTTGAGCTGCTAACTGTCGTCTCTCATATTCTGTCATCTCTATACTTCCCATTGTAGGACTATTCTCCAACTATGAGTCAAATATAATTAAGTTAGTTTCACATAAGTATTTAATTAACATAAAATAAATGTATTTACCATGAAACTTAGAAGACCAGTTAAAATCGTAGACACACTCCAAGCTGGATTCCAAGTATCAGGATGATAATCACTAATTGATAAGCAAAGTCTAGTATTTGTCTTGAATCTTCCATTAGGTGTTATCATATAAATGCTAGGTGGTTTAAATGGAAAATCTCTAGGAAAAACCAATCGACCTAAGTAATAACCACCTGCATAAGGTGAATCATCTGGTCCACTGACTACATAATACCTAATATTTGGAATGGTTTAATAATGCATTAAATACATTAAAAATTATAACATACCATTCTAAGATATTAGATGGGACTGGTTCAGCAACTACATAAGGTACAGGATCATTTTTAAGACGTACATAATCTTGTTTTAAGCGTAGAGTTGCAGATGAAGTTTTTGGTGCCATTTTTTATATTTTGATAAATTAAAAACAATAAATTTTAATTAAGAAAACATAATTAGTCAACATATGTCAAGATAATTGTAACATACCCAAAAGTATCTATTAAGAAAAAAAAATAGTAGTTATTATTTCTATGATCAAAAAAGTTGACCAAAATATGTAATTCAAAAATGAGAAACAACTATAGTACAAAAATATTTGATTTGATAAAAATTAAATATTACTTACAATTAGTATAAGGATACTTGTTGATAAGGAATTATACATTAGGCCATTCCCCACCATATTCGCTCTACTATGTTATCATTGTAACTTCATGTTCATGATATACTTTTTATTCCATGTATGTATATTATATTTATTAGATAGTTGAAATCCACTCTTATGTATTATACATTTATTACATTAGTGGTGGTTAACTTATATTTATTTTAGTAACATCACTTATTACTATGGTATTACTATTTTAAAGTAGCGTTTTAAAATATAATTTGATGCTATTTTTGAAAAAATAATAAAACTGCTAATTTTTCAAACTATTAGATATTATATTATATAACTGTTATTTACCCTAAAATATTCTAGGAAAAAACATGAAAAATAGTCTATAATATTGTGCTAGCATAAGTATTTTGTTAATATTAAACATAGATAGTAGTCTATGATAACAGTTATGTTAAGCGATAAATCTCAAGGTTATTAAATAACTTAAATTGGTTACCTAATAATCGGTGGTACACGAACTAATATAAAATGGATAAAGATTATTAAAATAAACAAGATCGACGGCAACAGGGGGTGCAATTCAGTTTTCCTAGAGAAATTGCGCAGAAAAATTACCCCTTCTACGGGAAATATAAAACAAAATCGGATCGCTGATAAGGCCTCGTATTCAGTTCATTTTATCTTGGTTCGTAATTCGGTCATAGGTTCCCACACATTCATAGACTATAATATTCTCTTATATTTTATCAGGTGTATAGTGTTCAGTAAATAAGGGAACGGATTTCTATTGTTCTTATTGTTTATAACAATTGAATTTTTCCTTACATACTAAACACCTTGTATATTGGTAATAACTAAATTATTGTATATCTTTTTTGATATATGAAACCAAACATATAATATCATAGTATCACGAGAATTGCTAACCAGCGTAGTATCTTTAGAGCTGTGGTACAATAGAAACCATTGTTTCCTCACATAAATATCCTTGATAAAATTTGACCGCAGAATCTAACAGTGTTTTATGGTAGTATTACTGTGTGGTTAAAAAAAATCCAGCACAGTGAGGACGTAGTATAGGTGGGTCCAGTATAGATATTATCTGACAGTGAATTAAATCACTATCAAAAAAAAAGAACGCTTCCATGCAAATCATTAGATAGTGTTTAATTTTAAAAAATTGGTGGATTATTCCAAAAGCTACATGATCTGCTAGTTCCTTATTTATATCCTGTTTACAAATTTTATGATTTATAAGAGTAATATATTAATAAATATTTAGTATAGCAATTATATTTAGTATGAAATTGATATTTAATAATTTAGTATTTTAATTTTTTCGGAGAATTTATAAAAAAATTATAAAGTAGTTATTACTATAATGTAAACGTGTATAAAAATTGAAGGGCTTGACACAGAACTTTTTAGATAATAATTTGTTGTAAATTACAGTTAGTACAGTACAGTACAGTTAAACGTACAGATAACATATAGTTCGTAGAACTTTTTAGTTTGTTACATAATTTATTTTTTGAATTGCTTTCATTATTTTTTACGATGCCTAACATGAATAAAGTTGATACTTCAGTTAAAAAAAGTGTTAATTCAAGTTTACTACATGTTGAATATAATTTATCTGACGTTATGAAAAAACTCAAATCAATGAATTCATCTCAAGATATCCAAAACAAAGTGTTAAATGAAAAGCTAATTAATTATGAGACTAAACTTAGCAATCTTAATTCTTCGTTAGAAGGTATGATAAAATCTTTAAACATGTTATGGGAAGAAAACAAAGCCTTAAAAATTGATATAAACTTATTACGTGAAAAAATTTCATTGTTAGAATCGACGAATAGTCCGATTTTTAATCCGATATCTTCCGAGGAAATAATTACCGAGGCTCAAAATAGGGTTTTAAAACAAAAAAATGTAATTTTTTATAATATTATTGAAACGCCTAATGAAACTTTAGAATCCTCTTGTAAAATCGTTAGTGATTTAATAAAAGATATTTCTTTGGATTTAAAAGTAAATAGCGTAAAACGTCTGGGCAAACCCCATCATAACAGAATTAGACCAATACTTGTCGAATGCGATTCTATAGCTAACGTNAAAAAAAAAATGTTGTTAATAAGAAAAAAACTTTCACTGGTTTATATCAAAATTTAAGAGGTTTGCGAACTAAAATTCACAATCTCAAAACTAGTATTCCAATTATTAATGTTGATTATTTTTTGTTAACTGAAACTTGGTTAAATGGTTCTATTTCTGATTCTGAACTAGGTTTTGATAACTATAATGTATTTAGATATGACCGGTGTATGAGTACTAGTACGCAAAATCGAGGTGGTGGTGTAGCTATCTGTGTACACAAACGATTTAATGCTGAAATATTATCAATACCAGTTATAAATGTCGAACAAATTTTTGTATTAGTTAGTAGGGAATAGTCATAAATTTCTTTTAGGAACTTGTTATATTCCCCCTTCTAGTCCTCCTAATTTGTATGAAGCTCACGTGGAAGCAGTAGACTCTTTGTCCAGTTACTTAATGACTAATAATACTCACTTTATATTAGCTGGTGATTACAATTTACCCGGTGTAAAATTTTCATGTGATGATACTGGTCTTATATATTCTGGTCATAATCTACCAGGTGCTAATATAATCTTTAACAAATTTTCGTTTTTAAATTTATATCAAAATAATACTGTGTTAAACGACTTTAATAATTCTTTAGATTTAGTTTTTGTTAATAATAATTCAACTCTGGTATCTCGGTCTAATGATAATTTAGTTTCTCCCGATAGGTATCATCCATCATTATTAATTAGTAATGTATACAATTATGATAGTTATAATTCAAGATATAAGAATAATACGTGGTATTATGACTTTAACCATGCTAATTTTCCTTTATTAGTTAATTTATTAAATGATGTAGATTGGTCTTGTCTTTATAATTTAAATGAAATTAACTCAGCATTAAGTAAGTTTTATGAAATAATCTCTAGAGTGTTAGATGCTAATGTGCCTAAAAT